CAGAGGATAAAAAACTGTCTGGTGGTACGCTAATCTCTATGGTGGTCCCCCCTCGCCCCCCAGTGGTGGCGCCCCTGCAGTGAACTTCAGGTGGTTTCAGGAGACACGCAGACGTGACGTGTGAGAAATGAAAATCACGACCAGCATCCTGGAAATGGGTCTGTTTACTGAAATAACACGCTGAGTCCAACCAAGAGCCGTAAAACCACATCCTGGTCCGTGTGCGCGTTTTTTTTTTTTTTTTTTTCCGTGGCGGCGCGTTTCGAGACTTACGGTAAGGTGGACCCGCAGTGTCCACTGGAGGATCAGGTGATCCACTATCTACGAAGGCTGACTGGGGGAAAGCGCAAAATGACCAACAGCAAATGTCGGAGCGTGATTCATTCAGGTCTTCGGCTCAGATTTGGACCTAGATCGCACCGCTGGAGCTCCGGTGTGACGATGGCTCGTTAGGGAGGGGGGGTGGGGGGTCTGCTGGCGCATCTCAGCTGCGGTTTATTTTTATTTTTATTTTTATTTGTTCCCATCCCACCACACTCCCTCCCCTCCGTCCCTCTCCGATATTGTGATTTATGAGAAGCCACACTCGCGGGGAACCGCTGGTGTCGACATGGGGCTGTGCTACAGTCTGCGCCCCCGGCTCTTCGGGGACCTGAGCGGCTCGATCTCCAACGCCACCTCGGACTCGGACCAGCCTCCGGACCCCGCCGCGGCCGCTCGCGCCGGGGCGGCCCGCCAGCAGGAGGACGCCGCCGGGGGATGCGGGGAGAGCTCGTCGCTGCGCGGCGGAGGCCCGGTTCGCCCCGGGGACCCCGCCAGGGAGCACCGCCGCGGAGACGCCGGCACGGACGGCGTGCTCATCCAGAACGGGGGCGGCGGAGGGAAAGGCTCCGGGAAGGAGCGCGGCCGACGCTTACAGCTGCTGCAGAAGACGGGCAACCAGAAGCAGAAAAACTGGGACAAACTGCTGGTGGAGGAGAAGGAGGCCGAGAAGGAGGCGAAGAAAGTCAGTAAAAACATCGACCGGGCGCTGAGGGAGCTCAAACGGGAGTATAAACAGACTCATCGGCTGCTGCTGCTTGGTAGGTTTCCTGTTTTTGTTGTTGGGACAGGAAGCTGTTTTATTTATAGAAAAGCTGCTCAGGTGAGGCCTACCTCATCTGAAGGCTGGCAGGGAAAACACGATCGCCCGCCCACGAAGGGTGAAGGCGGACGATACTGTAGTTTTCCTCCCTCCTTTAACCTGTCTGTTAGCAAAATATCTCACGACCCACTGGACGAATTTTAATGAAACTTCCAGGAAGGAATCACTGGATGTACTTCTAGGAATCTTGAAGTTTTGGAGTCAATCCGATTCAAGATGGCCGCTAAAGCCATCTGACCTTAAAAAGCACAAACGTGTCTGTAAGTCAGTCAGTTGTACAGACACTGAGCTGAAGTTTGGTGTGGTGGTAGCTGAGACTGATACCCAAAACATTTAGTGAGCGCTAACAGGTCGAGCTAGTTCTTTGTTTAGAATTTTACCATTAAGTCTGAGGAGTTAACTCAGTCTGTCTGTTAGCAAAATATATCACGAACCACTGGACGAAATTTAATGGAACTTTCAGGAAGTAATCATCGGATGCACTTCTAAAACTGTTCAACTTTTGGAGTCAATCCGATTCAAGATAACCGCTAAAGCCAACTGACCTTAAAAAGCACAAACGCGTCTATAAGTCAGTCAGTTTTACAGATATTGAGCTAAAATTTCGTGTGGTAGTAGCTGAGACTGATATCCAACACTTATATTAGAGCTAACAGGTCAAGCAAGATCTTTGTTTAGGATTTTGTCATTAACTCTGAGGAGTTGACTCAGACTGTCTGTTAGCAAAATATCTCATGAACCACTGGGCAGATTTTAATGAAACTTTCAGGAAATAATCAGTGGAAGGGCCTCTACAGCTGTTTACGCTTTGGAGCCAACTGGATTCAAGATGGCTGCTTTAGCTCACTGATCTTAGAAAACACAAAAATGTCTATAGTCCGTTAAGTTTTACAGATATTGTGCTAACATTTGGTGTGGTACTAGCTGAGAGTCCTTCACAACACTTATTCCATGTGCTACTCATTCTATAAGATCTTTGCATAAAAGTGTGGTAATAACTCTTGAGTCTCCTGGTGTGACAGTAGACTGACCCCCCAACACATCCTGAGGGCTAACAGGTCAAGTGAGCTCTTTGTTTAAAATTTGTCCACCAACTCTTTGGAGTTAACTCAGTCTGCACGGGACAGATTTCAATAAAACCTTCAGAAATTAATGATTGTCTGTCCATCTAGAACTTATTAAGTTTCAGAGTCCATTCAATACAAGCTGGCGGCTACAGCTGATCCACGTTAGTCAAAACAAAAATGGCAGTTTCAGAGACATTCAGCTAATATTGCATTTGGTAGTAGCTGAGAGTCATGGACAACACATACTGTGATCTTAGTTTATGGTATAAAAGCGATACGCATTCCTTCAAGGACTGCCAGGCCTTCAACTATTATTGGATGGGTATTTTTAAACTCCCTGGGCAGAACCATAGACCTGATAGGTGGCAGTTTATGATGAGCAGTGTTTACCTTAAAGCTACTATAGTATTATATAAGGGTGGGACATCTGTTCAGGGACAACAGATGAAATATACAGACCAAATGATTAACCAACACCTCAGTAAGAAAAGGCGCTAAAATTAGCAACACACGAGCTCTGCTTGAAGGGCTTGGACTTATTTACAGTCTGGTTTTTGTTGATCTTCCTTTTGCGTAAATAATCCTAAGGGGTCACAGAAAATGGACTCGTTATAGTTCTGGTGTACAGTATTGTGTCCCATAAGGTGTATTTAGTACACTGTGTTCTTTATGGCCAAACACAACAGGTTGAAAGGTTCTGTACGCAAACGACTGCTGGAATTAATTATTCATACGCTTCATTTATAATTATGTAATCCAACATAAATAACAACAGACTAGATAGATAGATAGATAGATAGATAGATAGATAGATAGATAGATAG